GAGAGAGGGAACACAAACAGGGGGAGTGGGAGAGGGAGAAGCAGGCTTCCCGTGGAGCGGGGAGCCCGGTGCAGGGCTCGATGCGGGGCTCGATCCCAGGACTCTGGGATCATGACCTGAGCTGAAGGCAGATGCTTAACGACTGAGCCACCCAGGTGCCCCTACATTTCTGTTCTTTATAAGCCACTCAGTATACAATATTCTCTTATAACTCCTCAAATGGCCTAAGGCATGTTTGCTTATGTCTAAGTGAAGTGAATGACAGAAATGATACAAGGGACAGGAAGGAGGAATTAGGAGTATCTTTGTATTATAAGGTATCTGTACACTCCATGAAGTAGTTATTTGAAAGTGGATGTGGATTTAATTGTAAATGTATATTGCAAACTCTAGGGCAACCACTAAAAAGTGTATGTATGTATGTATTTATTTATGAGAGAGATCAAGGGAGGGGGAGCAGAGAGAGAGAATCTTAAGCAGGTTTCACACCCTTTGTAGAGCCTGACTTGGGGCTCAGTCTCACCACCCTGAAATCATGACCTGAGCCAAAATCAAGAGTTGGATGCTTAGCCAACTAAGCCACTCAGGCGCCCCCTAAAAAGTTTATAAAGAAGTTTAGGGGCTCCAGGCTGGCTCAGTAGGTAGGTCATATGACTCTTGATCTCAGGGGTGTGAGTTTGAGTCCCACGATGGGTGCAGAGATTACTTAAAATTAAATCCTTTTTCTTAAAAAGATTTTATTTATTATTTATTTGACAGAGAGAGAGAGAACACAAGCAGGGGGAGCGGCAGGCAGAGGAAGAGGGAGAAGCAGGCTCCCTGCTGAGCAAGGAGCTGGATGCTAGACTCGATCCCAAGACCCTGAGATTATGACCTGAGCAGAAGACAGACACTTGACTGACTGAGCCACACAGGGGCCCCCGTGACATCATAACTTTAGAACTGCAAAACTAATTTCAGACTTCCAACTTCTAGAACCCTAACATAACTTGGTGTTATTTACACCAGTAAATTTATAGTAATAGAAAACAGAAATAGAATAGAAATACTGGTGCCAAACCCTCTTTCATTGCTAGTGGGAATGTAAAATGGTGCAGGCAGAAACTAGTTTGGCAGTCTTCAAAATGTTAAACATAGAGTTACCATATGATCCAGCAATTCTACTCCTAGAGAATTGAAACTTCTACAAAAAAACTTGTACGTGAATATTCAAACAAGCGTAATTCTTAATAGTAAAAAGTGGAAAAAACCCAAATGTCCATAAATTTTTGAAGGAATAAAAAATGTGGCATATCCATAGAATGGAATATTATTCAGTCCTAAAAAAGAAATGAATGTACTGATGAAGTACTGATACATGCTATACATTTGAACCTTAAACGCGAACATGTATGAACATAGTGAAAGAAGCCAGACACGAAAGGGCACATACTGTATGATTCCATTTACATGTTATGTTCATAATAGACCTATCTATAGTGATGTAGATCAGTGGTTGACAGGGATCGGCAAGAGAGGAAAATGGATAGTGATGGCTACTGGGTTGAGAGGGTGGGTGTTTCCTTTTGGGGTGATAAAGATGTTCTGAAATTAGATAGTGGTGATAGTTTTACCTTTGCGAATATACTAAAAACCACTGACATGTACACTTTACAGGGGTAAAAAAAATTTTTTTTTTAAAGATTTTATTTATTTGA